TAAATAGGTCATGGAAATTCGCATTGTTTCATACCGTACATATGCCTAGGTTTTGGTGCAAAATACCCAGTCGATTTTGTTGTAGGCTCGTGAAACAAAATTTTGAATAATAAAATACACAATCACAGTAGAATAAATCACCACACCCAAGGTTAGAGAAATCTATCATGGTAACCGTCTATTGTTCGAAAACTCACTGAAAATAGTCACAGAAAACCACTAGAGACAGAGTACAACAGCCAACTCGAGAAATGATGAATCCTTAATGTGGCAGTTTCCAATTAATGCGCTATATGTTGCACAAATTATTTTTCAATTAATTCGCATTAGTAAAACACTGGATTTTTTCAATGGCGTAAAGTGAAGGAGAAAGTCTTCAGGGCGAAAAAACGAAGGCGCTTGAATCCATTTTAAAACTACCCTATGAAATACTCAATACTGCATTCATTACTATTGTCCAGGTTTCAGTAAAGTATTCGTAGCCGTTTTTTCTTTAGGGACTTGTAAAACTATAATCAATAATAAGGCTTGAGACACTTATAAATATACACATTGTTTACTCTAATAAAACGAAGGTTTAGGACTAGTATAACGGTGCTTAAATGGCTTCTACATTTCTGCAATGCTTGAATGACTTCGAAGAGCTTATCTTGGTAGCGAAGAAGAACTTAGAAAATATTAGAGGGTAGAAATCTCGGCTTTTAAGAATTAACTTAAAAATAGCCCTACAACCTTTGCAGGAGTTTGTTTAGTAGCTGTGCATAGATTTTGGCGCACTATATGTAGCAGTTTTTGTTGTAGGTTTCGATGCTTGAATCATGACCTTGAAGAGAAACTTGGCCAGTAGCAATGAAAAAACTGATAAAATCTCTCCTTCTATTTCAAGAATCAATAAAGAAATAGTCCTATGACCTGTGCAGGCGTTTTTTTTAGTAGGTTTGAATAAAATATTCATAGCCGTTTTTTTCTGCAGGCTTGTGAAACAATAATATGAAAAACAAGTGGATGAATTTTATTTAACAATCGGAAAATCAACTTTTTTTTGCTATTATCAATATTTTAGAAGCCTTGGCCAATGAGATAGGTCTTGAGTGCTGTTCAAGAACAGGTCTGTTTTTTAAGATGGTTCTTGCCCGTATTCCTGGGTGATCCCTGGTATGAATAACTATCATGGTTCATGATATGTATATCCTAGAAGCTGTGCTAGATTAAAGGGGGGGGACATATAAGATGGAAAGGGCTTCCTACTAAGAGAAAGATAAATTAATAAAAAAATTATGTTTAATTTAAAAACATAGTTGCGACTGTGTGTGTGTCATTATGGCAACACTGATTACATTCGTTTCACATAAACCTATTATTTTGTCATTTTTCATTAACATGTTCTTACTGTTTGTACTTCCGTAAAGATTTACACGGCCATTTAATATTAAAAAAATCATTGTCTTTTCTTCATATTTATTATAAATATTAGAATTAGTAATTTGTATATTATCTACACATTGTTTGTGTATTTATTGCTCAAACTGTAGTTAATAAATAGTACTGAACTGTATTTGACTTATGTTCACTTCTGAGGGGCCTCTAAGTCACCCAACCTTGCCTAGAAAATAATGTAAATCTAATAGGGCTACCAACTTTCCAGAGTGAAAACTGGGACTTTTTTTTATAAATGGAGTGACACTGTAACACTTTTTAACATTCGATAAATAATATGTTGTTTATTACATCAAGTTTGAAAATCATAGACAGAAACTGTTAAAAGCTAATGTATTTAAAAATGATAATAATATATAAAATAAAAATGCAACAAAGTTATCTCGAATGTACTGAAATGGAAAATGATGTTTCTTCACTTTCTTTGTTAATGGCTGGGCAGGTCTTCAAATTTCAATACTTGCAACTGTCCAGTAACAGGTTAAGTTAGTAAAATGTAGCAGAAAGGGAGAGAATACTGTAATATGTGATTTGTCTTTGTCAGGTGATTCTTCTAGTAAAATTTAATGGAACCTTTATAAAGACAAACTGACATATCAAACTCACACTGACGTACAAAGAAACTGGGAGAATTTAATACTTTTACTATTACAAAACAAAACAAAAGGGTCAAAAACTGGGACACTTGGTAACCCTAAAAACTAAACCTGGTTAATCAATAAAATTAAGTCAAAATAAGCTGAATCCTAAGTTAATAGTAGATATAAAATTGATTTAATCTCATTAAGTTAGGCCTAACTTTAAACTTACAATTAGGCCTATCTATAAATTATAGAGAGCGGGTTGTACCTGTGGTCCATATAATATACTCAGATTAATTTGAAAGAAAATGTGTTTGGTTTCACTTTACAATGTCATACCGTAAGCTGTGAAATTCCCAGTTTTATTAACTCTTACTTAAGTGGTAACGTTTTTCTAAATAGGATCTTCAACCAACACAATTACGAATTCAGACTAGTTACATAGTGGCTTGTCGAGATTAAGACTCTAGTCAACTGTAAGGATTACTTATTATTACATTGATAATTCAAATAGAGACAACATTTAGTTTTAACGGTAGCTTGATTATATTACAACCAGGAGTTAATCGTCATTGTAATAATAAATCTTAACAGTGCTTGACAATCCTTCCTGTAAAGATAGACGTAATATAATGTATGGTGTGGATAACATTTTGTTTCCAGCAAATGTAGAATAATAGCATTTTTCTTTTTTTCTGGTTGTAAGAGATAAATCGAAGTGAATTACTTCTTTCCTTTGTAGTATCTTAAGTGCTTAGGTTGTCTTTTTTTTGTCCTCTGATAGTTAGAAGTCAAGTAACATTTCATATTGATTAATACACACAAAAGCCTGTTCAACTCGCTAGATAAGCGTTGAGTAAGTGGATAATTTATTATGTGCAGTTTACTAACGTTTTGCAGCATTCCAAGTCTTTCGTGTGCTTTTAGATACACATAATTCACCGGTAAGAAACAATATAATACTGTTACGCTTCCGTTCGTTAGTTAATTTTCCGCAAAATTTCTTTCCGATGAAACTTTAGCGATACAAGTCCTTTCTTAAATAAAACTGGTTTATTCTTTCTGAATACAACTTTGCGATACACTTAATTTCCACAGTCGCGCTATAACAAACGCTATAATTCACAACGAACGTCTCACGTGCTCGACTCAACTGTCAATTATACATTACCTACTCGCAGTCAGTTCTTACAGGTCTATATATACAAGACCACCGCACATCCAGTAGTCTCTAGAGATTTCAGGAAGGGGCAGGATTTTTCTAGAAGTTCATGGCGTGTTACCAGAGTCACGTGACTTCCGCTGTCGTAACAATATTAAATTAGAGACTGTATCTACGAAACATCTGTAGTATAGGACTTGTTATAACAACTACAACTACAAAACGTTTGTAGTATAGGTTGTGTAATGACTTTAAGACGTTCTAATTTTGAACAGTTCATTCGTAATTTGTCGCAGAAGAAACTTTGAGGCATGTACCCCTCTCATCCCAAGTGGCTCAGCGGTAATCATGGATCTTATATACGTAAATACCACGGTTCGATACCTGCAGTGGCCGCACTGTAGATAGTCCACTGTGTAGCTTTGCGCTTACAAACAAGAGCATTCAGAGAAATTACTCACCCTCGCCCCGCCGCTCCTTTTCGAGATTGCATGCGTTTATATTGGATATAACGTGAAATTTCACCTTCGAAAACTCGGAAAATTCTGCTCAGGAGTATAAACGTTAATGTGCCCATAAAATTTGGTAGAAATCCGATCATATTTTACAGAGTTAGTACCCGATTACCGCAAAAATTCCCTATCTCCCCATTATAAAAAAAATCTTCAAAGTAATCCGGAATTGGATCCGCACCAAATTTGGGGAGGACTGTCCCATACTGACTTACCACCTTGTGTAAAATGTTCGCGTACATTGATGTATTACTTTTCGATATAGGCGCGCGGAGTCATAGACAGGCATACATATGGACCCGATTGCAATATCCTCGCCCAGCGATGGTAATAAACAATCATGAGATACATGGGGTCAAGTTCTTCCATTCTTTCATCCTTAAAAATGAGTAACACCTTGCATAACTTTTTTTATGAACTAATGTTTCTGTAGGAAACATATATACCTGTTCTATTGAGCAACTTTAATATATTTATAAAACATAAGGTAATGAATATTATTATTGAGAATATGTTTAGACCGTACAGCAGGACTACTTTTACAGGGAAAAATGGTTAAAAATAACAAATATGCCAAATGAAATACTTTATATAACTTTTGGAGGGTAAAAGATTGCTATAAGAGTAAGGCAGATGCACATGATTTTATCAAACAAGGAAATAGAGTGCGCTTTATTCAATTAGTGGAAAAATAAAAGTGAGGAAACTGGTTTGGATGTAAAAATATAAACGTGATTCCCAGGGAACGCTGGATATTTAATGAGAAAGTAAATGAAGAGGAAATACATTGAGAGTGAAGTTATACACATTTTGAGTTTTGTTCTTTAACCTGAACCGGAGATAGGAAGCTTAAAACCCTATTCTCATGAACCAGAGATGAATGGTTTTATTTATTCAAGAAATTTAGTATAATAAACGTAGTTCAATATTCCCTATATATGATTCGCTCCATGGTGGCTGAGCGGTACATTCGAGGGCTCAAACTACTAAAAACCAGGTTTTAATACTCACAGTGAGCACAGCACTGATAACCCATTGCCTGACTTTGTGCTTAGTTTCAAACAAACAAATAACAAAAATAGATTTATATGATCCTTTTTATTTAGTGTCAAATGATATATTTTATTTCATTTTTATAAGTTTACTAGATACTAGAAAAATAAATTATTTTTGATTATCAAACTTACGATAAGAAAAATATATTTGTAATATTTTATATTTCACGCTCTTTCTCTCCATGTATATGCATAGGATTTTTATAAATATATTTATATCAGTTTTTAAGCTTTTTATGGTTTTCTTTTTCAGCCCGACAGAGGGCGGTTTCTTCATTTCGACCATATCACTCTGTGGGTTGGAAACGCAAAACAAGTACGTAGTCTTGGTGTTCCAAAAGAATTGGAAGAAAAAATATTTGTCAATATTCATTAAAATTCTTTGTAATGCTAATATATAGGAATTAAATAGTGACAAAAAACATAGAACCTTTTTTTTACTACTTTTATTTACAGCCATTGCAAGAGTACATTTCAGATTTCAATAGGCAACTTTTATTAGAGGTCCAGGAGAATTAGGCCTTTGGACAATCTTGGGTGTTGGTTATTTTTAAAAGTTAAAATATAATAATCAGTGTATTTTGGGAATAATTGCTTTGATTATTTCCTATATTATTTAATATTCATTCAAAAAGCGCAACATAAACAGGGGAAGAAACCCCCCGAATCACCTAAATGGTGTCCTTAAACTCCTTGGTCTTTAAATCCACAAACACAATTCCAATTGATAATTATTTTGATTTATTGACAGTGAAAAGATAATTTTCGATAAATTATATTCTGGGAAAACATAACATTTTAAATAGTATATGAGAGATAACCAAATGAAACAGTGAACGATTATACGCAATATATTTAAGACAAACTTCGTACGAACGCGGCATTTAGTTAAAGTCACTAATAATATAATGAGAACGTAATAGCTTATTTAAGTTATACTTCGTTAACCATGCATAGTTGATAAGTGAAATTTTAAGGATTTTCCTTACGAAATGAAAATTTTAAAAAATTCTCGAGAAAGACAAAAGTATGTCAACTAATTGTGCGGTTTTGTGTAAGTAATGACTTATGTAAAATCTTCCTTTAAGTTGAAGGGAAAACAGTCTACTCGGTAGATGTAATAATGAAGAAGTAAGTACGAGGTGCAGCTTTTCTAAGTATAAGAAAAAAGGTGAAAACTGGGTTTCCGGAAGACAGGATATATGCTTTAATTACTTTCTATTTTGGACGTTTAGTTAGAGGATGAGGAGAACGTTTATTGAGATGGGGGTCTTGACCTTATTCTCCAATTTGGCCACGAAATGTCATGGTTGATAGCTTCTATACCCGGTATTGTATTTAAGCTAAATTTCGCTAAATATCATCGTAAAAAAATTAAGTGTTTTGTAAAATCAGTAGCATAAAGACATGTAGAATAGCGGGTCTCTCAGAAAGACTGAAAAGTCGAACTTCAAACAGTGCCAGGAAAACGAATCGTAAGCTTAACAGCCGACTTACATGATTCAATAGTCATGCCAGAATTCATAACAATGGAGTGAAAACTAAGAAGTACAGCATCGGAGATGCGATGACGTAGGTTAAATCTTATGACCCGCAGGAGAGTCCTTGGTTTCAGTTTACAATTGTCACTGTTTCAGAATGAATCTGTGAAGTCCTTACAAACCTATCTACACCCATACTAGACAAATTCTCCAAGAAATCTAGGAATCAATAAGCTACAGCCCTGATGAACAAAGTTTTAACCCAAACTGAAAAGAATCGTTTCAATCACGTAGAAACGTATGAAGGAAATTTTAAATAATTCTGTACGTTATTTTAGAGAGAGATACAGCTCTGCTGAATTAGTTGATGAAGTAACTTAGGAAAACCTGTAAACACTTCATAATTTCAAACATGCAACACTAGCCGTTTGTGAAAACACCAAGACAAAAATATAATATTTAAAACTTGTTTTACTTTGGTTGTTTGAAACATTGAATTCTAAGACGCGTGAGCAGTACTAGTTACATTCCTCTTTATGTTCGGTCCCCCAGTTGGTCAGCGAAAAGTTTATAGACTTACAACGCTAAATTTTGGGGTTCGATTCTTCGTGGTGGACAGAGCGTAGATAACCCATTGTATAATTTCTGCTATAACAAAAACCAATTTCATGTTCGAAAAACACAATTAAATATGAGATGATTGGAGCACTAAGATAAAACTGAAGATTGAACTGTTCTACAGCTGCATTTGCTCTGTACGTTACCCCAGTAATTATTCAGTTCTGTCAGAACAAAACGAGGGATATATTGGTTGAACAAACACTTATTTTTTACTACAAACAACTACATGCTTCTGTTTTCTTATTCTAATGTTACACTCAGTCTGAGTTGCTTTTTGTTTGTTAATACGTGTAGATATCTAACAGACTACTTTTACTGACTATTTCAAAAGATGCACAGTTGGGAATACACGTTATTTGGGTAACTTTTGACATTACTTTGTAGATAATGTTTTACCACACTTTATTTACTGAAATTATTTTACTTTTCTTTTGCAGGCTGCTTCTTATTATTGCGTCAGAATGGGTTTCGAACCTTTGGCTTACATGGGCTTGGAAACAGGATCCCGGGAAGTGGTGGCTCACGTAGTGAACCAAAATAGAATTACTTTTGTATTCAAATCAGCTCTGAATCCAAATAACAATGGTAAAACATTCTTCCAATTGTATTGCTATGAATGGCAAGATGCTTGTTTGTTTTTTGTTTTTGAATTTCACGCAAACCTCCACGAGGGCTATCTGTGCTAGTCGTCCCTAATTTAGCAGTGAAAGACAAGAGGGAAGGCAGCTAGTCATCACCACCAACTCTTGGGCTACTCTTTTACCAACTAATAGCGGAATTGACCGTCACACTATAACGCCCCCACGGCAGAAAGGGCGAGTATGTTTGGTGGGGCAAGATACGCCTGATATTGGTGTATATGACGTATAGTATAGAAATAAGAAGTTTGAAAAAGTTTACAGTATATATTTTGTCTCAACAGTTTTATACAACTAGAAACCATTCAAAACAAACCTTTTTTATACCAATAAATATATTTTATATCAGTACAAATTTTGTAAGAGTAAACTATTTGATATCAATAGATACCATGTGAAACTCAAGCATATTATATCAATAGAAAGCCTAATTATTCAACAATAAGTAAAATATCCTTATCATGAATAAAAAAAAATAATTTCCTTGTTGTTCTGGCGTACGATCAAATGGAACTTCCATTAAAATTAATGGATTGATTATTGATGCTGTCACTTTTCAGTTCGATCAAAAGTTCATCTTATTCCCAACAGATTTCGGAGACCATCTTGTAACTCATGGAGACGGAGTTAAGGATATTGCTTTCACCGTTGAAGATCTAGATGTGATTGTTAAGGTAACAAGGACTTTTGGTTGTTGAGTGAAGTCTTGTTTGTTTTAATATCATACGTTATAAGCATACAGCACAATATTGTACCAAGTATTTATACATCTATCCGTTTTTAACATCTAGGAACGTTTCAGTGCCTGGTTGCATCTGTTAAATCAATGACGTCATAAAGAAAATAAACATAATTTCAATATTGTACGTTGTCTTGCACCTGAATGCAAATTACACACAGTTTACTTCTCGCAATATTCACCTTGGACGTTTTTAATTTAAATATGCAATACTAAGCCTAATGTCGTACTAATTCGCTTCCAAAACTTTCAATCAGCACTTGACTAAATGACTTACTTAGTAACACTTTCAACATGGTTTTATCACAAATATTATATGATAACTTATTATAGCCTAACATCTTAGGGAAATTTCTGCATCAAAAAAGCTACCAAGTATTCCAGAGAGCACAAACGTTTATAATTTTAATAATATATTGAACGAAATATATAACATATAATTACGAATTTAAGAGGTTTGTTTGTTTTGAATTTCGCGCAAAGCTACACGAGGGCTATCTGCGCTAGCCGTCCCTAATTTAGCAGTGTAAGACTAGAGGGAAGGCAGCTAGTCATCACCACCCACCGCCAACTCTTGGGCTACTCTTTTACCAATGAATAGTGGGATTGACCAAAACATTATAACGCCCCCACGGCTGAAAGGGCGAGGTGGGGATGCGAACTCGCGACCTGCAGATTGCGAGTCGAGCGTCCTAACCACCTGGCCATGCCGGGCCACGAATTTAAGAACGAAAAATATATTTATAATATGGTTTGGCAAAGCATAATAAACGATAATGTATAATATTCAAATGTTTATCACCACTGCAAGGTTTGAAAGATAAGTAGTATCCGGGAGCTGAATATTTTGTCTTAGCACGAATAAATATAACGTTATTAAGAAAGTATTTTAATGATATGGTTTTACCTGTACTATTTTCAGCGGGCCAAGGAGCGAGGAGCAACAATTGTGAAAGACATCTGGGAAGAAACAGATGACTGTGGAACTGTTCGTTTTGCTACTGTTCAAACTGTAAGTTACCAACATTTATAAAACACCAAATATTTGTACTTAAACAGTTTATTGTCAGGAGAACTTAACTTTCACAGGTTGAATTATGATTGTTTAGAAAAATTACGACTTATTATATTCATCCACAAACCAAGACTGATGGTTCTATATAAACAGTACTATTTTTTCTACAAACCAAGACTGATGGTTCTATATAAACAGTAGTATCTTCATCTACAAACCAAGACTGGTTGTTCTATATAGATAGTAGTATCTTCATCTACAAACCAAGACTGATGGTTCTATATAAACAGTAGTATCTTCATCTACAAACCAAGACTGATAGTTCTATATAAACAGTAGTATCTTCTCCTACAAACCAAGACTGGTTGTTCTATATAGATAGTAGTATCTTCATCTACAAACCAAGACTGATGGTTCTATATAAACAGTAGTATCTTCATCTACAAACCAAGACTGGTTGTTCTATATAAACAAGTCTTAATTTGTAGGAGAAGATACTACTGTTTATATAGAACCATCAGTGTTTGTAGAAAATATATTACTGTTTACATAGAACCATCAGTCTTGGTTTGTAGATGAAGATACTACTATCTATATAGAACAACCAGTTTGGTTTGTAGATGAAGATACTACTATTTATATAGAACAACCAGTCTTGGTTTGTAGATGAAGATACTACTGTTTATATAGAACCATCAGTCTTGGTTTGTAGATGAAGATACTACTGTTTATATAGAACAACCAGTCTTGGTTTGTAGATGAAGATACTACTATCTATATAGAACAACCAGTCTTGGTTTGTAGGAGAAGATACTACTGTTTACATAGAACCATCAGTCTTGGTTTGTAGATGAAGATACTACCTTATGTGAACTAGTTAGTGTATGCTGGTATACGTATCCCTGCTGTTTATGTACACAAGTTAGTACATACTAGTGTATACATCCCTGCTGCTTATGTGTACTAGTTAGTACATACTGGTGCACACACCTCTGCTCTTAATTCATAACCATCAATAGGCAGGTGAAGATACTACTGTTTATATAGAACCATTAGTCTTGGTTAGGTGAAGATACTGATGTTTATATAGAACCATCAGTCTTAATTTGTAGGAGAAGATACTACTGTTTATATAGAACCATCAGTGTTTGTAGAAAATATATTACTGTTTACATAGAACCATCAGTCTTGGTTTGTAGATGAAGATACTACTATCTATATAGAACAACCAGTCTTGATTTGTAGGAGAAGATACTACTGTTTATATAGAACCATCAGTCTTGGTTTGTAGATGAAGATACTACTATCTATATAGAATAACCAGTCTTGATTTGTAGGAGAAGATACTACTATCTATACAGAACAACCAGTCTTGGTTTGTAGGATAAGATACTACTGTTTCCATAGAACCATCAGTCTTGGTTTGTAGGAGAAGATACTGATGTTTATATAGAACCATTAGTCTTGGTTAGGTGAAGATACTGATGTTAATATAGAACCACCGTTATCTTTTATGTTCTCATGATTCAAAAGAAATAATGTAAGTATTTGTATCTATAACAATGGAAAACTTTAGTCTGTCAGAAAATGAATTGTATTAATATTTTACTTTTTTCTATATAATGATGCACAGTTTATTTCAATAATTAATCATCTCAGTGTATACTGGTGTACATATCCTTGCTGGGACATTATGATCAAGTTATCTTTAAGTTCCACAAAGCAGTCTGTAATGAAATGGACATTATGATCAAGTTATCTTTAAGTTCCACAAAGCAGTCTGTAATGGAGTCTTTGTGGAACTTAAAGATAACTTGATCATAATGTCAACTCCATTACAGACTGCTTTGTGGGACTTAAAGATAACTTGATCATAATGTCCACTCCATTACAGACTGCTTTGTGGGACTTAAAGATAACTTGATCATAAAGTCCATTCCATTACAGACTGCTTTGTGGAACTTAAAGATAACGGACATTATGATCAAAACTAATAATAGTCAGTATCAGATTATGTTTTGTTAATATGTACAACATGTAGTGATCATCAGCTTGTTTTTATCTCTTCAGGTGTGAATAGTCAGTATCAGATTATGTTTTGTTAAGTATGTACAACATGTAGTAAACATCAGCTTGTTTTTATCTCATCAGGTGCATATAGTAAACATTAGATCATTTTTTCTATCTTCAAGTACATGTAGTAAACATAAATTCATGTTTTGTTAGGTGTGTAATATAAACGACTTGTATTTTATCTCATTAGGTCATTTAGTATGCATCAGGTACATTGGTACATTGTGTTTTATTTCATCTGGTTGTGTAGTAAACAACAAATCATTTGTTAAATGTGTATAATAAACATCACCTGTGTTTTATCTCATCTGGTTCTGGTTGTGTAGTAAACAACAAATGTTACATGAGTATAATAAACATCACCTGTGTTTTATCTCATCTGGTTCTGGTGTGTGGTAAACAACAAATGTTACATGAGTATAATAAACATCACCTGTGTTTTATCTCATCTGGTT